CCCTAACCCCGACCCCCGCAGGACATGCCCGTGTCCCTGCCGTTCTCCAAGGTCATCTTCATATTCGAAGACGTGGACGCGTGCGGCGACGTCGTGGAGAAGCGCACCCCCAAGCCCGCCCCGCGGCCCCGCCCCGCGCCGCCCTGCGCCGCGGGCGCCGCCGCCACGACCACCACCACAGAGCTCACGCTGACGCACAGCGAGCCGCGGCGGCGCCACCACGGCGGCAAGGCGGCGGCGGCGCGGCGGAATGGAGGCGGCGGCGGCGGCGCGGTCGTAGAGGTAGCGGACGCAGGGGGTGACGGCAAGGACCAAGGGGCGGCGTGCGGGCCTGCCCTGGAGTCCGAGGCAGTTAAGGATGACGAGGCGTCGTCCTCGTCGTCATCCTCAGGTTCGACGCCACGGGCGCAGGACTCTCTCCACTTTGTGCAGCGCCAGGCGTCGCTGGCGCTGCCCGCGGCGGCGGCCGCGCCGGGTGGCGGGGGAGAGGGCGAGGAGGAGGAGGAGGAGGAGCGCGCGGACGAGGAGGCCGCGCTCCGCGCGCGCCGCGCCGCCGGCGGCGCCGGCGCCGGCGCCCGCGCGCTGGGCCCGCTCGGGCCCGGCGGCTGGCACAAGCGGCCCGGCGGCGACGACGCGCTCAACCTGGCGGGCCTGCTGAACGTGCTGGACGGCGTGGTGGACACCCCCGGCCGCATCGTGGTGCTGACCAGCAACCACCCAGAGAAGCTGGACCCGGCCCTCATCCGCCCCGGCCGCGTGAACAAGAAGATCTACATGGGGCTCATCTCCGCCCCCGCGGCGCGGGAGATGCTCGCGCACTGGTTCGGCGCCGGCGCGCTGGCGGGCCCCGGGGCGGCGGCGCGGTTCGACGCGGTGTTTGTGGGCGGCGCGCTGTCGCCGGCGGCGCTCGAGTCGATGTGTGCGGAGTATGACGAGGTTGGGCAGCTGCTGGACGCCCTTGAGGCGCACCCCGCGCTCGCTGCGGCGCGCTCGGCGCGCAAGGGGCGCGCCGCGGCCGCTTGACGCGCATGATTGAGCCGGGTGCTTGGCCCCAGGCTCTCTGTTGTCCCCTTGTCGTTGCGGGGTCCTACATCAAGCATGAGCGGAACTCAAGGAGCTGAAATATTTGCTCATGCACTGTCTGTTGTTGCTCTCGGTTGCCAGCTTCTCGCCGGCTCCTGTAGTCGGAGCGAGAGTGTTGGGGCATGGGGTGATGGCATGGATCCGGAACGCAAAAGCAACCAGCAGCACTCATGAATTTGTTAGCAGGTGGCCTGGCTGCGCCTTGTCTGACCCAGACCACGTCCCAAGCCCCGTCCAAGGCAACAGGCGCCCCAGCTGCCGTGCAGCCCGGTTGGCTCCGCAATTCTCGCACCCCAGTCGGACGCAATCACCTAAGTCGGACGAAACAACCCGCCAGGCAAACAAGCATTGATAGCCAGCTAATCACACCGCGAGTGTACCCCTGAATGGGTCGGCCCTTGCAAGCTGGCCGTCCTGACAGCCATCAACGCTCTCTTCCCCTTGCCGTTCACGCCTGCGCTGCAGCCGGGCCACATGTTGCACATGCCACACCAGGTGTGAGAGAGTGTCTTGGAGTTGCACATGCAATGTGAATTGTGCACTGTGATTGGCAAAGTGTTACACGGACAGGCCGATGGCTGATCAGAGGGGCTTTGCAGTGTGTATGACGAGTTTCGTGGGAGCATTGCACAAAGGTCGGGACCCCCTTGTGTGATCAAATAAAACAGGCGGTAGCCGAGGCGACGGCCGTAGCCGAGGCGACGGCCGCAGATTCTGCAGCACTCTGATGCGCCTGCGCTGCTGCTCTCCCCCCTTTGCAGCGTCACGGACTCTTCATTACAAGACCCCCACTCATGGCCCCCACTGCGACGGCCTGGGTTGTGAACAAACGGAAAAAAACATGCTCTGCTTGACTGCCCCGCATATATAGATCAGTTTACTCTGGGGGCCCTCCTGCACGCCTGCTTTGAACGGCGCACGGTAGCCACCTGAACCTCAGCCACACAACCTTGGTGCTTCACTTTACAATCCCATGAGCCTGGATGGACCCAGGGCGGGCGACCGCGGGACGCTGTAACAATCTTGATCCTGATCCACTCTTTGAAAGGGCGGTGTTACGACAAACGTGACCCACTGTAAGGCACACAAGGCGGCACGCAGCCAAGCTCACGTGCGTGAGAGGGCTGCACCAGCTGGGGGCCAACACCAGGGGGCAGGCAAGAAGCGCCCGGGGCCAAGGTGCTCACACACTCATGCAGCTGGTCTTGGGGGTGCGCTGGATGAATGTGCTCGCAGACGGCAACCAACAAAGGGGTGGCATCGCAGAACTTGGCCGACTTCACAGATGGGTCGGGCGCCCACGCGTGCTGTCCTTGGGCGTTTGGGCGTCCGACCCAAGGGGGCTACTCATGGGCGCGCCAGCACTTGCGAGCCGGTAGTGTGTGCATGTGTGTGTGGTGTAGCAGCCGTAGCCGTAGCCAATGCGGGTAATAGCAGTGCGGGTATTATCAATGCGGGTAATAGCAGTGCAGGTATTATCAGTGCGGGTATTATCAGTGCGGGTATTATCAGTGCGGTTAATATCAATGCGGGTATTATCAATGCGGGTAATAGCAGTGCGGGTATTATCAGTGCGGGTAGTAGCAAACGCCATGGAAAAGGCGTCAGACAGGACAGCGCGATTGCCAAGAGGCCGGCGGCATCAAACGTGGCGGAAGCCACAGCGCCGCTGCTGCCATCAACGCAGCCCACCAGAAGACAGCGGGTCTCACGCGAGCAATGGGGCTGCTGTTAAAACGAGCAAGCACCTCAGCACAAATACGAGTCCAGGCTTTGCTTGTAGCACAGGGGCATATCAAAGGGGTTTGCATTGGCTGCAGCGCAAGGCAGCCCAGCTGTAGTAGTGGTAGTAGTAGTAGTAGTAGTAGTAGTAGTAGTAGTAGTAGTAGAAACGCGCCGCGGACCTGCGCACACAGCAACGGCGCGAGCGCCAGTGAGCACGACAAGCGCCGCGCGCCGAGCCGCGAAGCCACTCGCGACGCCTGTGCCCGTCGGATCTGGGCCGGAGCCCGCATATCTGAGCAGCGAAAAGGTGCTGGTCTGGGGCAAGAGGGTCTGCACGACGACGCTGCCGCGCGCCGCCCTGATGCCTGCACAAGTCACCTTCCCCGTCCCACCTGTCTCGACTGCCGCCACCAGCATGCGCTGCGCCTGGCGCACTGGGATGAACAGGAACGCCAGCGCGACGCCCACGTTAACCGCTCCCGCCACTGCGATGGCAGCCCCCACCACGGCGACCGACTGGGAGCTGTCCCCCAGCAGGCGCCTCGACCTGGTTCAGCGCCGACGCCGTCATGGGCGAGATGGTGGTGCCAGCCAGAGACATGAGGCTCGCGACCTGGGTGGATGATGATTGATTGGAAGGGTGATGTGCCAGAGTTCAGGCGGTGTGGGAAGGATGGAAGAAAAGAGACGAGTACGATGGCGTTGAGGGGCGCGAGGCCGGCGTGCAGGAGGCTGCTGGCAGGCAAGCCATGTCATTTCCTGCGAGACGCAAAGACGGGGTTTCAGTACCGTGCGGCTGCGGGGCAGCCAGGCCCGCGCAGGGCCCAGGGCGAGCGAGCTTAGCCTGGCGCCCGTCATGGCGCCTGGCCAAGGCCAGCACGCAAGTCCCCCCTTCCCGCCTTGCTAACCTGCAAGGACTCTAGCGTTTTGCAGGCGTAGGGGTGGCAGCGGAACTGCGGCAGCAGCGCCAGGAACAGCACCAGGTGGGCCGCCAGGACCTGGGGCGCGGCGCCCACGGGAGGGGAGAACCCCCCCCCCAAATTCGCAAGGGGTAGGTCGCAAATTCTACCACCTGCCCTTGGTACGGCTCGAACCTTACAAGGCCCACGAATCGCAAAGTTGTCACATGTGCAGCTGCCGTTTTTGTTGCCTGTCGATGGGCGACCGCATCACGGCGTGATATCCGGTAAACGACAAGCTTATGTGTGTTTGATCAGTATCCACCGCGTACCGCCCACAAGGTCCCTCGCATTGCTTGATTTGGTGCTCGCGGGGCGGACCCTGAGGCTGATCGGCCGTGAGAACGCCGAAGATATATTCGATATGATTACTGAGTGGTCCTGCGCCAGGTGCGCAGCACTGCGCCATCCATTCTGGCATCCCTTTGCTGGTACACCACCAGCACCACCGCACGCTGCTGCTGCTCCCTGGCCTGGCGGCGCCGAGCAAGCACGCCCCCGCCCGCAAATCGCTGTCACTGCTGACCATGTAGAGATGTATATGTTTCCTGCGACGCTGAGGCAGGGCCTCTCCGTGTATGCCCCAAATTGAATTCGTGCGTCACACACCCCTTCCAGCGCTGCGGGGGTGCCCCCTGTGAGTGTGGTTGTTGCTCCGTAGCCGCTGCAGCGCTGCTGCCCAAACTCGCTGTGACTGCTCACCCTACATAAGCGTATGCATTACCTGCTGCGCCGGGGCAGGGGCTCTCCGTACATTCCTAACTTCAAAGTTCTGGGGTCACATACCCCAACCAGCAGCAATGCACGGGTCCCCCCTGTGAGCGTTGGTGTTGCTCCGTAGCCACTGCAGCGCTGCTCCCCGCACTCGCTGTCACTGCTCACCACAATTGATTGCACATACTGCCTGCAGCACCGGGGCAGGGGGTCTCCTTGCATGCCAAAATTTGAATTTGTGGGCGACCCCGTCCACGCGCGCGATGCATGTGGGCCCACTGGCTGTGCTCAGCTGGTGCAAACGGGAGCAAACTAGCATTGCAGTTTGTTTTGGATGTAATCACATAGATCATTTTATATATATATGCCCCTCCGCCTCCCTCCGCTTTTCAGGCAAGCACCAATCAGAGCGCCGCCGCCACTTTTGCGGCGATTCAACAGCCGCAGTAGGCCGCTGCTGACGCAGCAGCCGCCACAGAAGTCTTGTAAGAAGTCGCTACTGACGCCTTTGTGCAGCGCCACGAGCCCACCGTCCTGTCATTTGTTTGTTGTGTGTGTGGTTTGCAACACTTGCTGCCCATCCTCAACAACACGGGATTGAGCAGAACTCGAATAGCACCGGCGACGGCGGCGATCGCAAGGGCGGCGGCCAGAAGGCCGCGTCCAGCAGCAGCACCACCACCACTCTCATAGTGGAGGGCGCCACGGCGGCGCAGGCCGACGGCTTCATAGGCCGCGCATGGGCCCACTTTCGGGAGGAGCGGTGAGGAGCGGCTGTTTTGGGGCGCGTCAATGTGTGCGGAGTATGACGAGGTTGGGGAGCTGCTGGGCGCCCTTCGAGGCGCACCCCGCACTCGCTGCGGCGCGCGCGGCGCGGAAGGGGCGCGCCGCAGCCGCTTGACGCGCATGATTGAGCCGGGTGCTCGGCCCCAGGCCCTCTGTTGTTCCCTTGCCTTTGCGGGGTCCCGCATCAAGCACGAGCGGAATTCACTGAGCTGGAAAATTTGCTCATGCACTGTTTGTTGTTGCTCTCGGTTGCAAGGCTTCCGTAGTTGGAGCGAGAGTGTTGGGGCACAGGGTGATAGTGTGGATCTGGAACGCAAAAGCAGCCAGCAGCACTTATGAATTTGCAAGCAGGTGGCCTGGCTGCGCCTTGTCTGACCTAGATCGCGTCCCAGGCCCTGTCCAAGGCAACCACCACCCCAGCTGCCGTGCAGCCCAGGTGGCTCCGCAACCCTCGCACTCCAGTCAGACGCAATCACCCAAGTTGGACGCAACTACCCGCCAGGCAAACAAGCATCAATAGCAGGCCAACCACACTGCGACTGTACCGCTGAATGGGTCGGCCCTTGCAAGCTGGCCGTCCTGACAGCCATCAACGCTCTCTTCCCCTTGCCGTTCACGCCTGTGCTGCAGCCCGGCCACATGTTGCACATGCACACACTGGGTGCGCGAGAGTGTCTTGGAGTTGCACATGCCATGTGAATTGTGCACTGTGATTGGCAAAGTGTTACACGGAAAGGCCAATGGCTGATCAGCGGTGTTTGGCAGTGCGTATGCCGAGTTTCGAGGGAGCATTGCAAAAAGGTGGGGACCCCCTCGTGTGATCAAGTAAAACAGGCGACGGCCGAGGTGACAGACACAGATTCTGCACCACTCTTTGAAAGGGCGGTGTGACAACAAATGTGACCCACTGTTCGGCACACAAGGCGGCATGCAGCCAAATCCCACATGCGGGTGAGAGGGCTGCGCCAACCAGGGGCAGGCAAGAAGGGCCCGGGGCCAAGGTGCTCACGCACTCATGCAGCTGGTCTTGGGGGTGCGCTGAATGAATGTGCTCGCAGACGGCAACCAACAAAGGGGTGGCGTTGGAGGACTTGGATGTCTTTACAGATGGGTCAGGCGCCCGGGCGCGCTATCCTCGGGCATTAGTGCGTCCGACCCCAGGGTGCTGCTCGTGGGCGCGCCAGCGCTCGTGGGCTAGTAGTGTGTGCATGTGTGTGTCGCGTAGCAGCCGTGCTGAAAGCAATGCAGGTATTAGCAGTGTTGGGGTTCAAAGGGCGATTGCCTCGTAACTGCCTTTGAACAGCAGCACGATTGCCAAGAGGCCGGCGGCGTCAAACGTGGCGGAAGCCACAGCGCTGCTGCCATCAGGGCAACCAGCTGACAGAGGACAGCGGGTCTCACGCCCGCAAGCCGGCTGAAAAGCAGCAGTGATGCTTTTGACGACACCTGAAAAATTTGACGGCAAGCCGCCGCCGGAGCATGCAAAGTGCAGCTGGGACAGTCGGTACGCGGCCCCGCCCGTGTGGGAGGCAACATGCGGTGGTGTTCAGGTGCAGGTGCAATATTTGGTGTGGGTCGTGCCGCCCACGCTTGCTCAAACGGGCTCCAGAGAGCAAATGGGCCGCTGTTGAATCGAGCAAGCACCTCAGAGTTTATACGAGTCCAGGCCTCATTGTTGTAGAGAGGCACATCAAAGGGGTTTCCAATGGCTGCAGGGAGGTGGAGCCCAGCTGCACGTCGGGGAGGAAGTATAATATGCACGGTGCGGACCGGCGCACACACGGCATGCACACACAAGCAACGCCCACGAGCAACACTAGGGGCAACCCAAGGGGGTGCAGAGCAGAGGTCGCGACGTTGCGGAAAGGCAACATTGTCGCTCACGACGGTCGAATGCAGGCTGTGTGCAGAAGAGCATGGCTCAAGTTGGTGTGACGGCATGCAGAGTGCTGCCAGGTAAGCTTCAACATTTGCGGGTTTCTGCGGGTCTTGCTGCCAACCCAGCACACATCAACATCGAATGACAGGACGGTGGGCTCACGGGGCTGCAGCAGCCCCAGAACCTGCTGACGGCCGGGGCGCCAGTGACGGCGACGGCGCCACTGACGGCGCCAAAGCCAGCGCTGGCGCTGTCGTCGGCGCTGGCACCGGGGCCACGACAGACGCCGCGCGCCGCGCCGCGGAGCCACCCGTGCCGCCTGTGCCCGTCGGGCCCGGGCCTGAGCCCGCGCGGCTGAGCGGCGAGAACGTGCTAGTCTGGGGCAAGAGGGTCTGCACAACGACGCTGCCGAGCGCCGCCCTGATGTCCGCAAAAGTCACCTTGCCCTTCCCGTCCTTGTCGAGCGACGCCACCAGCATGCGCCGCGCCTCGCGCACCAGGATGAACAGGAACGCCACCACGACGACGATGTTGAGAAATCCCGCTATTCCAATGGCAGTCCCGACCACGGCGACCGACTGGGAGCTGTCCCCCAGCAGGCCGGGCGCCATGGCCTGGTTCAGGGCAGGCGCCATGAGGGCTATGGTGGTGCCGGTCAGAGACACGAGGCTCGCGACCTGGGCGAGAGATGATTGATGGCAAGGGTGGTGTGCCAGAGTTGAGGCGGTGTGCGCGGGATGGGAAGAAAAGAGACGCGCATGTTGGAGTTGAGGGGCGCGAGGCCGGCACGCGCGAGGCTGCTCGCAGGCGAGCCGCACGTCAAATCCTGCAAAACGCAACGCAAAGACGCGGTTTCAGCACCGTGCGGCCTATATTGTGCGGCTGCAGGGCACCCAGGCCCGCGCCGGAGCCAGGGCGAGCAAGCTTGGGGGCGCCCGTCACAAAAGTGAGGTCAAGCCAAGGCCAGCTCGAAAGTGCCCCCTTCCCGCCTTGCTAACCTGCAATGAATCCAGCATGTTGCAGGCGTAGGGGTGGTAGCAAAATTGCAGCAGCAGCGCCACGAACAGCACCAGGTGGGCCGCCAGGACCTGGGGAGCAGCGCCGAGGCGCTGGGTGGCGGTGAGGGCCACCACAGCCGCCAGCTTCTCGAGGAGGATGACTGATTCCCAGTAGTAGAACTGGGCCCTGAACGAGTCGAAGAAGAATCCAAACTTCATGTCGACCTGGGGTGTCGCCGGGTGACGGGTGGCGGCGGGGAGACGGGTGACGAGGGTGTGGAGATGGAGGAAAGAAAGGTGGTCGGGGCATTCCATGCGTTTGGGTTCGGGAGCGCTTTTAGGGGGCGGGGAGAGGAGACAATGGTGTCAGCGCATGCGCGCTTTGCTGGCTGCTGGGTCCAGGCCGACGGCATCCGCCATGCCCGTGCCGCGGCTGGCGCAGACACTGCTCTCTGCCGTTGGGCAGGCAAGCCCGCCCATTCGATTATGTGGCCGCAGCAACCGCCGTTTGTCCTGTGGAGCCACCTGGCACCCCCGCACGAGCGCGCTGTGTCGGCCTAGGCAGCCGCAGCACCCACCGTGAGGTTGTTGCGCTTGATGGTGGCTAGGCGCACCGCCATGGCCGCTGGGAACCCCAAGCAGAAGATCAGCAGCCACACGATGCCCAGCGCCAGCATCCACCTCATCTCCCCTGTCCAGCACTGCATGCTGGTGTCGTAGTCCCAGTACGTCCCCACCGCCTTGAGCGCGGCCAGCGCGCTGGCGACCACGCCCACGGGCGCGACAGCGGTGTCCGCGGTCTTGATGTTGACCGAGGGGTCGATGGGGAGGAAGGACGCATCGATGCGCCCGGGGTCGTCCACAGGTGTGCACGCGAAGAGGATGGACACGACGGCGCCGGAGACCTGCGACATGCAATGTTGAGCGCGCGCACACGCAACCCAGTCGGCAGTTGTGCAGGAACAACCACTCGGGCCCGTGCCGGCGCTTCGAGTAAGAAAACGTTGCGCAGGCTGCGGTCTGCAGCCAAGGGGCGTCCGCGGCATCGTCTATGGCGGCCGCGGCAGGCCCAGGCACCACAGTTCAAACGATGCGGCAGGCATTCTACGGTGGCGACAGGCGCCGCCGCGTTACATCGCCACCAGGCATGCTGTCGTGGCGAATTCTGCCCTGCATCGGTGCCCTGCACTGGGTGCGCGTGGGGGCAACCCCAGGCGGCCAACCTGAGGGTAGAGATAGAAATTGACCATCCCCAGGGTCATGACGACGCGCGGCCAGTACTGGTCCCACACAGTGGTTTGCTGGACGTCGTGCTCCTCGCGGCGCCTGACGGTGGCCAGGCCCGCGCGGAGCCCCCAAAAGGCCAGCGTCAGGAGGGCGGCGCCGGCTGTTTGCACGAGCAAGGGCAGCGGGAGGCAAGTTGCTTGGCGAAACGGGTCGAGGGTGTCGAACAGAGCCAAGCAAACGTATGCAGGGCTGCACGGATCACTCGAATTTCAGCCTAGCAGGTGCGAGCTGTCGCCAGTGCGGGCTCAACACACAGCGCCAATCAGGCCAGCGCCCGCCTGCCCCACCTGGCAGCAGCAGGATCGTGAGCGTGCGCGCCAGCGAGGGCCGCAGGCCCCCAGGGATGTTGTTATACACGCACTCCATGACGACCCATGAGGAGATCGGCTGCGTCTGGTCCAGCGCGGAGATTACCTTCTCGAAGCCCGAAGGCCAGTCCATCCTGATTGTGCGCAGCAGCCCCAGGAGCTGCAAGTGCGTGATGAGCAGCTTGAACACGTCGCCCATCCAGAAACGCGACGCCTGCCGCCGCTGCAGGGCGGTCTGCGCTGCGGTCAGCCCAGCCGCGGCGCCCTTGTCGTTGCCCACGATGCTGTTGATCGACTCAAGCGGGCCTTTGCCCAACTTGCCGCCAGCGGCGCCGCCGTAGTCGATCCCCACACCGGCGCCGCTCGAGGCGCCGGTGCCCGCGCTGCCTCGCCTCGAGGCCCCGGTGAGGGCGCCGCCGCTGGACGTGCCGCGACTCCAGGCGCTGGCGAGGGCGCTGCTCCTCCAGAACTTGTTCCCCACCCCCCTCCAGCGAGCGGTGAAATTTTGAGCCGTTGATCGCTTTGCTGCGTTACCCCCGGCCGCGCCGTCCTCGCTGCCGCCGTCCTGGTCCGGCCGCGCGACCGACGCGTCGTCGCGCACGCTGGCTGCCACAGGGACGGCAAACGGGGTCGCCATCGGCGAGCCAGGCTCAGGGCTGCCGCTTGAGCTGCCGCTGGGGGCGGCGCCCAAGGACCCGGGGTTGTCGGCCGCGGCGGCCTTGAAGCCCTTTGGCGTGAGCGGCGGGGTGCCGATCGCGTGAGCAAAGCCCGACCTCTGGTCCGCATCCTTCTGTTGCAGGGTGTTGCGCCGCTGGCCGACCTGTCACGTGCAGTGGCCGCAGATGGTGGCATCGCAGCGGTGCGGGCGGGCAGAGAGAGCACTTCAAGATGGTGCTTGAGCGGGTTTGGTGGGGGCTCCTCCGCGCGCATGTGCGGCGCCTCAGGAATGGGTGCACATACTGGCATCCTCGCAGCGTCTGAGCTCTGCTGCTGCAGATCAGGCCTGCCCAGATCAAGGCGAGAGCGAAAGCACAGTCGCGGGCAGGCGCTCGCGAGTGCCAGAGGCATGCCGGTCAGCGCGTGTGCACGTCAAAACCCACCCGCCCCGAGCTGCTATGCCTGACTTTGCGGCGGCTCTTGTGCAAACAGGATGGATGACAGTGGGAAAGGCGGGATGACTGGCAGGGTTGGAGCCGGCAACCCACCTGCTTGGTGTGGAGGAACGCCGATGCCACAATCAGCACCGCCATCCAGGTGAGGGCCAGGAAGTACCTGCGAGCCGCAGGCCAGCAGCAGATCATGGGGGGATCAGGCGGCCCGGGTCCTTGAGTCGACGGGGCATGACGGCCGACTGGCACATGGTGGAAATGCTCGGGGAGGGTAGGGGGACCGTGATGATGCAAGCTCAGCGGCCCCAGCAGGGGCCTCGCTTGACAATTGAGGGGTTGCGCGATGGCCATCTCAGCGGGGCAGCTCTGTCACACGAGCAAATACATCCAAGCAAGCCAACCAGGGCCTGAGAGTCGATGGGTGGCGGGTAGGCCGGCATGCAGGCAGGGAGGCAGGCAGGCAGGCAGCCAGGCAGGCAGGTAGGCAGGCAGGCAGGTAGGCAGACAAGCAGGCAGGCAGGCAGGCAGGCAGGCAGGGGAGGCCAAATCCAAGGACTCACAGGAACCCATTGGCCGCTAGGGGTCCGCAGCGCACGCAGCTCTGGCCGTGCCTGCCATACCCGCGCCTGCACTCGCCGCACAGCACGCCCTGGCGAGCAAGGGGCAGTGCGAGCCGCGTAGGGCAGGAGTGGTGAGCAAGGCAGCATGCACCACAAGGCTGCACTGGCACATCTGCGTGTGCATCGCACATCATGACGCTCCAAGCGCCACCCTGTGACGACCCAAGCGTCACCCTGTGGCGTTTGGGCTCGACATGGGTTGAGCAGCTGCACCACCGGTGTCCCAAGCTTCACAGCCCATGGCCAGATGACACGCGCATCATCTGCCAACGGGATGGTTCATGACATCATCATGACGTGTCACCATGACATCACCCCACCTGGTAGCCCTCGGCGCACTGCATGCCGACGTATTCCTCGTATATAGGCGCCAGCTCGGTCAGGGTCCAAATCGCGTGCGTCGCCGCCCACTGCGCAAGCTCCGTCTGCCGCGCCCCCGCGCGGCACGCGGCCGCGTGCAGGCACCGGTGGATGGCGGGGCTGCGGGGGTGGCTGTGCCAGAAGCCGTCGCGCGGGATCATGCCCACACCGGTGCAGAACGCGTGGACGCCGTCGTCGCAGCGGTTGCAGCCGCCGGAGGCCTGCGGGTCCAGGCTGACTGTACCCGCGCGGCACTGCTGGCACGGTGCCAGGCTCAGCGCGCCGGCCAAGGCGGCGCTGCCGGCAGCCTGCGCGGTGATGTTGGCCTCCCCGGCGATGCAGTTGCGGATCCTCAGGCCGAGCGTGGCCGGGCGCATCTGGATGCGCTGCGAGGAGATGGGCGTGAACCGCAGCTGGTACTCGCCGGGCGCGGCGATGACCTCGAGGCCGAGGAACTGCGCTATGCCGTTGTTCGTGTTGGAGGTGTTGCCGAGGACGAGGGTGCGGGGCGTCCAGAGCCAGTTGCCGCCGGGGACGGAGGCGGTGTAGGGGCGAGCCTGGGGGCCAGGACGAGAAGGGTGGCGGCGACGCGGCGAGGGAGTGTGTATCAATTCAACGGGTGGAAAGACAATCAGGTGCGCGGCCATGTGACAAAGAGCACCCTCGCAAGCCCCGCTTGCGTTTGGGGCGGGCTGCAGCCCACAGCTGCTGCGGGACCTGCCGTGGTGACTGACGCCGCCCTGGGCCCCGGCGCCTCAACTGCAGATGTCAGCAGTGCTTCAGCCCCCCACCTCACCAACGCAACACCATGACTTTGAAAAATTTCAAGGCCCCAAACCCAGTGCTCACATACAGGCCGCCAGCCCCACGGCCCCCGAGCAACAGCCTCTCTGGCCCCCACCACCCCAGCCGCACCCATTTCCTGAATCCTGCTTCAGGTGTTCCCACACCCTTGCAAAGGGACTGACCTGCAGGACCATGTTGGCGTCGTAACCAGCCACGACCCGGTTGCCTGCCCAGTCCTGGACAGCGATCTCCACACTCAGCGTGCTGCCAGGCGGCGCCACCAGCCCCTCCGGGGGCGGTGCCAACACCGCCGCGCCCGGCGCGCCGGTGCAGCCCGCGGCTGTGCGGCCCAACGAGAGGGCGGTATTCGCGTCGGCAGCGGAGGTCGCGCAGGTCACGACGAGCTGCGCGGCGACACTGGCTAGGTCCTGAGACCCGGGGCTGAAAGCAGTGTTGCCGACGGGCAGCCCCAGCGCCGCCAGCGCCGTGGGGCCGCTCGCGTTGGCGCGGCTCCAGCACTCTGGCAGCGGCGTGACGCCCAAAGCCCCGCAGTCGGTGTAGGCGAGGGAGGCGTTGCTGACGAGGAGGCCGCCGCCGGAGCCGCTGGGCGCGGTGTTGCCAGTGATCTTGTTGCCGGCCTCCAGCAGCAGGCAGCGGGCGGGCGGACTCAGCTTGCACAGGTCAGTGCGGACGACGGCGCCACCTGTTGCACGTGTGATGTGCAGGGCAGGGGGGGGGTGAGACCTCAATACCCGTGTTGTGCGATACAATACAAGCATGCAGCAGCACGCAGGCAGGAGGCAAGCTGGACGCAGCCGCAGGCTGCACACCAAAACGAATGGCGGCGATGCGCGAGCTTTTGGCACGCGCTGCAAGCGAGCTGGAGGGGGCAAAGTGCACGCATGCCCCACAGGCACGTCTCCCACCTCCGTTTGGTGCGGTGTTGTCGACGAACGACGTGCCGCGGATAGCCACCGTTCCGGCAGCAGCGGCATACAGCCCACCGCCCCCAGGGTAGAGCATGTCGTCGGGCGGGGCCGCCGTCGCCGCCGCCAGCGCGTCCGCGATGGTGCCTTCGCTCTGCAGAAGCCGCCGCCTGCGCTCCGTGGCAGCCGGCTCCTCCGCTGCCTTGACCTGGTTGCCTTGGAACGTGCACCCCGCGACCGCGATGTTCTTGGTCGATCGAACGATGGCCGCGCCGCCGCCGAGGGAGCCGGCCGTGTTGCCGGAGAAGCTGGCGCCCTCCAGCACAACATTGCCGCAGGAACGGCAGACAAAGCCCCCGCCGGCGGAGGTGCCGCTCAGCGCGCGGTTCTTTGCGAACTTGGCGCCCGTAAGCGTCGCGGTCAGCCCCGCGCCGCGGGCCATCAGGCCGCCGCCGCCGCCGGAGGTGGCCGTGTTGTTCGTCACGACGCCGCCTATGACCAGCAGGTGGCTGCGGTCGTTGGCAAGCGCGGCCATGCCGCCCAGCTTTGCGGCCATGTTGCCCACGAAAGCTGTGTTGAGGAAGAGGACCACTGACCCCCGCCCTGTAACTGAGGCCGCGCCGCCATCGCCGTGCTGCGCATTGTTGTCCAGGAACTTGCTGGGGGCCGCCTTGTCGGCAAGCAGCGCCTTGCGCTGCTTGAGCATGAGCGGCCAACGCTCCATTGGCCACCCGACGGGTGCCACATAGTCGAGCTGCAGGAGGAGCCGCCCCACCTCGATCGGCGCGAGCGCCAGCTCGCCGTTGCTGACCGCCCAAGACAGCGCCCCGCCGCTGCCCGCAGTGTTGCGCTGAAACGTGGAGCCCTTTACCAATGTCTCAAGGTAGGTGCCGAGCACCTGCACCGCACCGCCCTGCGAGGTGGTCCCCGCGGTGCCGTTGGCCTCGCCGGCCCAGTTGCTGGTGAAGGAGCAGTCCTCAATCGCGAGGGTGGACCAGCGGTCCGCGCTGTCTGCCAGGGCGCAAACGAGCATGGCGCCGCCGCCCCTGGGCGCGAGGGAGAACGAGGGGCAGGAGAGGCGGCGAAGCTTGACGGTTCGGAGCTTTTGACAGAAGCAAGGGTGCAGATTTGCGCGCTCCCCCACCTGGGGTCCAAGAGCGCATTGCAAAGGGCTCCAAGGAAAACTTCGCTTGAAAGCACCGCCCCTCCAAGCCAAAAGTGAAAAAATCAACCCCCAACTTGGGTCGTGTGCATTCCTGCTCACAGCTTGATGAAAAGTGATACTGCGTGCTTAGCAAGGCTGCTGCTCTTGCCTGAGATCCCTGAACTTTGCCCCACACAGAGCAACCGGTTGTATTTGCAAATGCACGCATGCCCACATGAACGCTTGCAGCTGCACGCCCATTTTCAAGTGTGCCTCCCTGCTGGTCTGCCCAAGCCAATGCGTCGACCCGCACACCAAAACCCCCTTGTCATTCAGACGCACATGCCCACGCATATACGCGTCTGCACACGTACAGGACACACACGCCAACACACCAATGGACGCACACGCACCCACACACCAATGGACTCACGCGCCTACACACCAACCGACACACAGACGCCTGCTCAGACAATCACCCCTTGCGCACATGCTGATATGCAAGCAACAATCCTGCTCACTGTTGTGCGCGGTTGTCCTTGAACGTTGACTGCTTCAAGAAAATGTTGCCGTAAGACTGGTAGCCAAAATACAGCGCGCCTCCCAGGCCCCACGGCGTCGTGCTTGGCTCAAAGCAAGGCCGCCGGTCGCGCGTCTCAATCGACCACATCAACGCAACGTCCTCTGTCGGTTTGCCGAGCGCCGTGTTCCCTACAAAAGTGCTGTCTGTGATGTTGGTCTGCATGTCGGGCGGCGACTCAAAATACATGGCCCCGCCGTCGGCGCCCGCAGTGTTGTTGACCATCGTGATGCGGTCGATCAGCATGACACAGTCAGATGTAGCGTCTGTGGAGCCCTTCTGCAGCAGCAACCTGTGGGCCATTAAATGAATTCAAGGTTTGGGACAGTGTGTAAGAGAGAGAGAAACGGTGAGCGTGTG